TCTCTCTCTCTCTCTCTCTCTCTCTCTCTCTCTCTCTCTCTCTCCACACCAGCCCCCTGTACGTCCTGCACAATGGGGGGGGAAAAAAAGGCAGAGCGCGGCGCAGCAGGCAGCTGCAGCCCAAACCGGACCGAACTTCAGTCAAACAAGACCCAACACTTTTATTCCTGATTTAAACTAGCGATCATGTGAGCAGCTGTATGCTTTTATTTTTTTTCTGTCAGACAGTCGGAGCGCTCCTCCTCCTGTCCGAGGCTGGTGTGGGGTGAAAATCCTCCACCTCAGACGTTCAGAGATGTAACTATGTGCGAAACTGTGGTCACTCTCCATGTAGCATCAATTATGCTAATGCTAGCTGCCTGTCACGTTCTCTCATCCTGGCCACACCTCTGCTCTCTAACCCCCCCTTTCCCAGCCACACCCCCTCCCCTACCCACTTTGATGCATTTTTCAAATTTCGCCTRGGCGGAGTTATCTTTTCACAGGGGGGGTAAGATACACTTTAAGCTAAGACTATCTGGTGCTGTGAAGAGTTGTGGTTTTAGACAATTTGAACAAACCTTGAAAGAAAATTGGCTCATGTCAATCAGCTGTGGTGGCTATCTTGAATTGGATTGGCTCCTAAAATTATTTAGTTGTACATGAAATTACTTTCCAAGATTTCAATCACAATTTCTCAAGTGATTTATGATGTATTTTGCTAAAAGACATTCAAACAGATGCAAATTTAATAAGATTGTCTTTTGCGCACCCTGTTCGTGTTCAGAATGAATGTTAAGGATCAGTCTCAGCTACAAACACACAAAATATTAGGTCAGTGTCTGTAAAACAGAAGTTCATTAGACTATCTAGCCATCAACTTAACCTGCTTATTCCTTCCAGGGTCACTGGTGCCCTAGCCTGGTAAAAACCAGACCCTGTCCTTCACTTTGCTTCGTACAAGGGTCTGGACTTGCTTCATAGAGAAGCGATTCTTGCAGGAGGCGTGGCCTCTGCTGAAGCATGTGTGTGTTGTCGCTGTGAAGGAGGCTAAACTAAGAAGCTAACCAGAAATCGCGTGCGCTGTAAGCAACCCTACTGAGAGGAGAAATATACCGAGCCAAATGAGACGGCTGTAAATGAGAGCTGCTGCTTTGTCAGACAAACTTAATTTAATTTGAAAGCCTTATCAACACAGACTGGCTTCATTCACTTCCTCCACTGCCGTATGCTAAAATAACTAGCAGACACTGCGCAGAAAATCGACGTCGTTCAAAACTCCGCCTTCTGTTTGCTGATTGGCCCAGGTAAAATAAACTACAAGCAGACACTGCACAGAAAATTGACGTTCTGTTCTCTGATTGGTTCAGCTAAAAATCTGCCAGTGAAATCCTTGTCTATGGGAGAAGTCCCAGACGGAGCAGTGTAGGGAAACTATTTGAGCAGAACTGCGTAGGAAGGCAAGGGCCAGGCAACTGGTGCCCATATCCAGCAGTCACAGTGCAAGGGGTGGAGTACACCCTGGACAGGTTGAAAGTTCATCACAAGGCTACATAGACACAACCACTCTCACTCACACCAAGGGAAAATTTAGAGTTACCAGTTAACCTAACAATCATGTTTTTGGTCTGTGGGAGGAAACGAGTACCCAGAGAAAACCCACTCATGCACAGAAAAAACGCAAACTTTTCCCAYAAAAGTCCCCAGCTGGGATTTGATCCAGCGACCCTTTTGCTGGGAAGCAACAGCTCTACCAACTGAGCCACGATGCGCTGCCCATTATAGACTACATCAAAAAATAAGTCTCAAAAGTAGGGTTGGGCATAATCATATCGTGTACAATTAATAGTCAGAAAAACATTAATCGAATACGTTTTGGCACTTGACGATCAATATAATTAATGTCACCAGGCAGACTGACTCGGTGCTCCTCTCCACTTCAAATATGATGAACATAAAAAAAGTTCTGTAATTTATTTATCTATCAACACAATTTAAAATTAGATGTATAGCCTGACGTCTGTAATTTTGACACAATTTGGAACAGATATTTACGAAGAGCAAATCTTTCCTGCTAAATTGGTCATGTGACTAGGACATAAGGGTGTCCAGGGACTCCAGGGGATTAATTGTCAAATTAATCGTTATCGGCTAAATACCCCAATTAATCGTGATTAATTTTTTTGCCAATATTGCCCAACCCTACTCAAAAGTTTTTACTACACTGATATTGTTAACTGAGAAACCTTTATCAGCAGTCCTCACTGTTGGCAGCAGCATTCACCACAGTCCCCTGTGTGTAGTCATCATTTAAGATCAAGGTGGGGTTAGTTCAGACTGAAAGCTTTTTAAAGCAGTTTGGTTGACGAGGTCAGGATGCTAATCATAAAAGAAGAATGTGTTTCCACTCGTGATTTCACAAATGTCAATTCCACAGAGATGGGATCATTGTTTCCAGGAGCAGGATGCTCTGTCTCTCTTTCATTTCCTATCTATGCTCAAGTTTCTTTGGAGAACTGGATTATCATAAACTCATTTGGGAGAAGGAAACATGAAGAGCATATTAAGCACAGAGGATGTTGAACAGCTATTGGGCACTGCAGAATTAGAGTGAGGGGATTTGTGCTGAACGTGGGCTCTCCACAGCAACAGCAGTGCATAACGACAGTGCTCCTTAACGAGTGGAGCCAAAGGCTGCTGTTTACACCTGCTTTTAACATCTGTCCATTTTCAGTCAACAAGACTAAATTTCCATATCATTTTTGCTTGGTTTTCACTTTTGCCCTCAGTAATACCTTGTCATTATAATACTTGCTTCAGTGAGTGTCTGCTTCTTTTCGTAACAGAAAATCAGACTCTGTTTTGTTAAATGAACATTTAAGTGCTCACATCCTCTTGTGTTACGTGTTGTTGGGATTATGTAAAGGCTCATTCTCCATCATGTCGCTCTTTAACTAGTTAGCACCGTTTGCCCCTAAAGTAAACACATATGTACCTCCAGTTAAATGTAGAGATGTTCCCATTCTAAAACAAATATTAGACAGTTGTATAAATTAAGGCTTTTTTTCACTGTTCATATTGAAATAGCTGCTCCTAATCTTTGTTGTTGACCTACTGTACATGGTTTTATGTCAGCCATGATGCAGTATGCTGCCATACTGCAGTCAATGTGATATAATGTGCCAACTTGCCGACAAGATAACCTAAATTTGATTCACAAAGTGACTGGATAGGCAGTTTAATATAGAGGGAAGCAAAGGTCTTGCCCAAAATTTACATAGATACTATGTACAGCTTCTCAGGATTGATGTAAAATGTGATGTTTGATGAAAAAGAAAAAAGAAATACAAATTTTGTGGGGGGGAAGTGCCAACATGCCTTTCATAAAGTATTTTAAAATGCAAAAGAAGAGCAATTCAGCAACTAGAAACCAGACAGCAATGGGCCACTGGACAGTAGTGGTCCACTGGACAGGAACAGTCAAATCACACTCTCTGCAAACTTAAAAGTATGGAATTGAGACTGATCTGTATTTTGAAATGACCTGGATTGGTATTGGGACAGAAAATCTCTACTGGGAAACTCCTAGTTGTTTTAAGTCATATTCAGTGTATTACAAAATTCTAACTATTTAAAAAAAAGTCTAAGAAAACCAGCAGATTGTCTTAAAAATTCACGTTGACCCAGTCGTACATCCAGTGCAAGCACAGAGCAGTAGGCAGCAGAGAGTAAAGACTTCCTTTGACCAGAAAGACTCCTCCAGCAGAACCTGAGGATGGGCAACTACCTGCCTGAACAGCCAGAGGTTAAAAAGATGAGAAAGAGACACAAACACAGAAGTGTCAGATTAGTTGGACTTTCTGTGTATGTCTAACATGATGTCCCAGTGGCTTTCAAACCCCAAAACACATTACGGCAAAGGCTGTTCACCCCAAAGATCCGGTGCCCAGGCACAAACAGAGCAATHTTGTATATGCTGTTAAGTGCCAGGAGGACTGCGACCAGTTATACATCGGGGAAACAAAGCACCCACTGTTCAAAAGAATGTCCCAACACAGACGAGCTACATCTAATGGCCAGAACTCTGCAGTTTTCACTCATTTACAGGCCAGCAGTCACTCTTTCAGAGATGAGGATGTTCTCATTCTTGATAGAGAGGAACGTTGGTTTGAGAGAGGAGTAAAAGAAGCCATTTTTGTGAAGAAAGACCGTCCATCATTAAACAGAGGTGGAGGCCTCCGTTTTCAGTTGTCCCCTCCTACAGTGCTGCTATTGCCAGTATCACTCCACCCCCTGTTAACAATAAATGTTAATTAGGTGTCAACGATAGCCATGTGATGTGAGTATCAGTCACATGGAGGCAGTGCTTAAAAGCCTGAATTTTGCCTGAAACTCTCAGACTGAAGAAGTCTCTTGGAGGAGAGACGAAACGTTTCATTAGAGAAGAACCCGTCCAGAGGACCTACACAATTTTTTTCTTTTTGATTTTTTTACCTGGATTACTGAGATGCATCAGGACTTTCTGTGTAAATAAAAACTGAGAACACAAGGTTAATTGCTGTCTTGAGGATCGTCATGCCTGTCTGTTCCTTTTTCCAGATGCAGAACGTGAATGGAAAGGACCATTTTATTTCATTCAAGCTGCAGACCCCCAGCTGGGCCTGATGAAGGCCTGGAGGGAAGGGGACTGTGATGGAGGAGGAGACGAATGGGCTGAGGAAGTTGAGCTTACAAAACAGGCTGTGGAGGCCGTTAACGAGCTGAGACCTCGGCCGAGGTTCATGATTCTGTGTGGTGATTTGGTCCATGCCATGCCAGGTAGGGCTGAAACGTAGCTCAACCTAAATATTACCTAAAACTAGATATCAGCAAAGAACTGCTTCATAAAAGCCTGTATACTGATCTTTGAGTGTTGTTGTGAGACATAGTTGTCATTTGTGATCTTGGGGCAGAATTGATTTTTAACCCCGTGTTACATGTAGAAGAGGTTGGAGGCGACTTGTAAAATCAATGCACGTGTCTTTCTGTTGATGCTGTTTGACCAAAAATTATTAAATGGAATGGCACATGAAATGTATGCTGCCTCCAGTTGCCATGACACATAATTATTCTAACATGTTTGTGGTACTTGATAACGTGTCAAACAGTGAAGCATTTGTATGCACATAATTGAACAACACTATATAGCTTAAATATCAAGGTCTGACAGGAAATATGGGATTGTCAATATCACACTCCATTACATGCATAAGTTGCAGACTCTTGTGTTCTGTTATTGATGCTGATATAATTGTCAGAAATTTGAAGCACTAAAACAGAGGACCTCTCACCACAACTTTGCAAATATTTAATAACCTGAAACGTTCTAAATCAACATTTAGCCTAATAATGGTAAAATTTATTTTTTTCCCTAGTCATAATATCCACTCACTTGTAATTTTTCAAACATTAGATCAAATTTCTTCAATGGGTAAATGATTAGGTGTAATATTTCTGTTTCTACTCATTTACTTTCGGTCATTGGGTATATTGGGTCACTTGGTGGAAAAAATTATTGGCTATCCATACATACAGAGCATTTTAAAGATAAAACAATTTTTATATGTAAATCTAAACAATTTATCCCCAACCCTTCTCTCATGATCCAGGAACATTTCACACACAATTAATGAAACTAATCATTGAATAGAATCTATAACTGGTCAACTTTTGGAAACAAGTCATTTCAAGATGACCACCATCGCTAAATAGCCTCAGCTAATTTTACAGGTATTAGGCTAAAGCTTGTTGTGGTAGTAGCTGAGCGTAATCTCCAACTTAAAGCATAATCTCAACATCAACATAATCATCTCATATTCAAAGCGCTACACATTGTGTAAATGTTTGACTTAAAGTTTTGCCATTAACTGTCTGTGTCACTCTTGTTTGTCTTCAGGAAAAAAATGTACAAGGAACTCGACAGATTTTAATGAAATTAGGTAATCATTGGAATTACATCTGATTAAGATTTGGAGATGCCCCAATTTAAGGTTATTACAGCTAATCAACATTAGCCATAAAAATGACTCTAACTGAATCAGTTTTACAGTTATTGAGCTGAATTTGTTGTGATTGTAGCTGAGAGTCATCTTTAATGCATATTTTAAATATTTAACGATCACACAATATTTCACAATAAATTAAATCCCTCATAATTAGATTTAAAAGTTGAGGTCAAAATGGCAATAACTGTTCCTTCTCAGCATAAGATGATTTCAGCTTAAAACTCTGACAGGAAAGGCAGCAGGCTACATTTCTAGATCCGTGTCTCTTTCTATGGCTGAATGGGTTTTAGATATGTTGGTAAAATGGCACGTTCTCTGACATTCATCTCTGTTGAAAGCAAACAGAATATGTCTGGTATATATTGATTATTATATTCTCAGCTGCTCAGTGAGATGGTTCCAATCTAATTAATGCACTGAGAAGTGTCAGGACGATGAAGCCCCAGAATATGACTCACTGAGGTTGGCTTAAACATTAGCCTCTGGCATTCCATTAGCCTTTTTCCCTGCCAGGGTCTGTAAGCAGCATTTTCCCAGAAGAGTTTAGCTGATATTTATCTATGAAAAGTAAAGGACCTTTAGCTATTCCCAGGCTGATGCTGATGAAGATTTTAACTATTCATCAGACTCCACAGACTTCAGATTTCTGTCCAATCCTGAAAATCTTAATCAAACAAGGCTGGTCTATCCACTGCTGCTGGGAATCATAAATGTTGTCTTGTTTGTGCCATGTAAACACAGCATTTATCTGTTTGTAATAACACCTGAGGTATTTTTGTGCTATCGTCTTCCAGTGTGTAGTCGCTTCTTTTTTATCAGTGTTATGATTTGTTAGATGTGTTGGATACCTTGGAAACCACAGTTGTTTGTCATAGTGACATTTGGAGTATCCAGTACACCAGATGCTCACTGTTACTCATAGTAGATATTCAAAAAAGAGCTGTGCTCTGAAATGGCTGTTTACTTCCAGGACTGTCTTGTAAATTTTCATTTAGCTCTTTGGCTAATGCTGTGTTTAGTTGTACCTCCATTCTGTTTGTGTGTCTCTATCACAGATATAATGATTAATGCAACATAGCTTGTAAAATATCAACACACAACTCATAAAACCCATCGGATCTCCATAAACACCCTTTAAAGCTATAAATATCACACTATTTTAGTAGGAGACTTTGGCTGTGTGTTTTTACAAACAGATGCTTTCATTAAAGTATCTGAATAAAAACAGAAATGAGTGGTTGTGGTGGTGTGTATTTTTAACAATGTAGTAATGGGCTACATGACCCACTGCAGTGGGAATTTTCAGCAAAAACAGCCGTAAGCCACCATCCTATGCAAACTACTTTTTGCATGACAATTAGGGGACTAGCAGAAGATCTCTGCCTTCCTAACTGGCCTGAAGCAATGGGCACTGAACAAAAAGTTATAAGGCTAACATCCTCCTTCTCTGTTTGTCCGACAATATTCTGTTGGCGTATTTGAATGGAGAGTGATCAGAGTTTCAATGGCTTTGGCCCTCCAGGCTAATTAAGATCTTAATCGTTAACTAGAGTGTTTTTCTTTGTATGTAGTGTAGCATGTCGTCTGTATAATGTCCTTGGCTCACTGTTTCTAAAATGTGACTCAAGGCGAACTATTCATATTCAACACAGATTTGGCTCAGCTTAGTCACTGAACAGCTTTCGCTTTCCTGTTTCTTTTCTGGGTCATAATGACCAACCACTGGAGCTCCGCAGCAACAGTCATCATGAACACTCTTTTGAGCCGTCTCCCCCTATCATATGAGAGAGTTGCCGCAGGCATTCAAGTATCCTTATCATCTTTATCACTGCACCATTTAAACCACAACACGCCTGTCATTTTCCCACCACACTTTCTCTCRATCTCCCAATAATCYGTTATCTTTCAGGGTTGTAGAGAGATGCATTTCCCTTGCTGTGCATCAGTAGTGTAGGCATAGAGTTTAAAACCCAAAGGCCTCAAGGACCTTTAAACGGTGTGGCATCAGCCCTCATTACTGTCAGCCTCGGCAGAGCAGGTTGTGTGTGCCATCCTCATTACTTGCCACGTCCGTCACAAGCCAGCTTACTGGACTGCTGCATTGACGGAGAGGCGGGAGGAGATATTATAGCCGGAGCAGCTCCCTCCGTTTCTCGGTTGACATTTCCCCTTAAAGTGTTTATTTACAATACAAAATGAATGGGTGGCGGCCAGGGGGAGCTGGCTGTCAGCTAGCATTGTCAACATGGCTGCCTGTTGGCGACAGGAAATTGGCAACTGTATTTCTGCACCCAGAGATTTCACTTTCTATTGCTCCTTTTCATTGGTTTCACATTCTGTTTTCCTGCCTGTCTTCTTTTTTTCCCTCTGTCTGTTCTCTTTAGTACACAGCTGCATTCACATGGCTCATACCTTTCTCTGACAACATTTATTTGCAAGTCTGACCATATTCATGGACACTAATTAATGCCTGTCTCTGTTTTAATCTTTTTGAAGTCTTCTTAAATCTCATATGGAAGCATCAAAGGTTCTGTTTGGTCGTGTAACTGTAGGTCATCTTATATCGGGTTTGAGCTTTATACTTAGCTTTAAAGGAAGGAAAACTAAAGGCTAAGTAGTGATGTGTTCATTTAATAAATGAACTGCTTTATCAAAGACTTTAGTGAAGTGGACATCAGAGCAGCTCATGCAAAGAAGTTGGAGCAGAGAACCCTGATGAGACTCAAGGGCATTCATTTGCAAGAAACAGCCCACCCCTTGACTAAATTAAACAATCTAATGTCAAATAGTCCACAATAAAAGTTGGCACCATATCTACCACAAAATCAACCCCTTAAAAAAGCTTTACTGATAGAATTTTCTTCAATCCCAGTTCTATTTCCTTTCCATCCCAAAGTAACCCCCAAGAGACACATTTCTCATCTCCAGGACTTCCTTCAATCCAGGCTCAGTCTCTCTCCTCATCTATCCTCAGTCTCTATCTCACTTTTACTTTCATATGTCTCGCTCTCACTTACTTTCAAAGCTGACAAATGAAGAGGATAAAGAGCAGGGGGGGCTGCTGCCGAGGGATGAGATGAGGGGTGGAAAGAGCGAGATGGAGAGCTGATTAGATTAGAGAGAAACATGCTGGACTTGACACTCTTCTAATGAGCACTACAAAGGATTCTGAGTCCGTCTCTAGGGGGTTGTGAGGGATGTWACGCATGATACAGCAAGAAGAAGTGTTTAAGTACATGTGCTCATTGGAACGTTGGTTAAACTCACAAAGGTGAAATTAAGGTTATTTAGGGACTTTCTTGTCCCCTTTTCTACAACTGTGGAAACCTCTTTAATTGTGAAGGGAGATGAATTTGAGCTCTCATTTGGACACTGAAGTAAAGTTTAGTTTATTAAAGAGTCTGACTAAAGGGAAAATGTTTTTGGGGCACCTGAAAGCTTTAAAGGGGCAATATCATGTCAAATCAACTTTTTTGAGTTTTATATCATGTTAAAATGTTATACTGTCATAAAAACATGTCCAAAGCCTTGCTTAGAGTCATTCATGCATGTTTGAGAAATCTTGCAGCGTTTTTAGGCAGCCATGCTGAGGAGCAAAACGACAGGTGGGAACCAGAAACACCTTTTGGGACCAGAAAGGCCCCTGGGACGTGTCTTTAAGCCAAACTTCCTCATCACGGAGCATATCTCCCCCCCACCCCACACACCCCGCCCATGACTCCTGCAGACTCTCGGGTGAAAGTGAAAGTGAAACTTAAACTGTCTGCTGAGCTCTCAACATTAGTTCTCACTCGGTGAAGCTCTTTTCAGKTTAAAAATACCTTTTGAGGAAATGTATTTTCAGATACCAAGTAAACTGCATCATAGTAGCCCCCCCGCCCCCCGTGAGCATGACCCCTACCCACCACCACCACGAACCACCGGTTCTTAAAGCGACCGAGGCCAATTTCAAGGCGTTTAGAAGAGGAAGTGATGAGAAGATAAGTTTATTTTCTATTTAAACATAAAAGCAGCATTTTAATAACAGCTAAAGGTGACATAGATACTTTATTATGGTATAATATTTAAATGTATGCCTGAGAAACACATAATATTGCCCCTTTTAAGAAAAATTTTAAAAGGTGCATGAATAGGATGTTTTGTGCACGTTAACCATCTGGTTCCTAGTAGCTCATCATGATCTCTAAAAGTTTTTTGGGAGTTAGTTCAAACGATTAGTGAGCTAAGGAAAACTACATTGGTTGTACTCGCACATGAGCACTGTTCCTGATTTTCCAGACTCCTTACTTCTTTGCTGGTCTGGTAATCTTGAGATCTAGAGATATTTTAGACTTTTGCACTCATACACGAGAGCCGTATTGAATATGGATGGATGGATTTATGTTGTAGAGGTTTGGTTTATTGTCTTGTGAAGATAATATTTACATTTTTTCCATGCAAGTGGATAGTTACAATTGAGAGCAGACAGCTTTTGGTATCTGGAAGCAAAAAGCAGCTCAGCATCCCTGGTCTTTGCCTTGTGTTTGTATGTTCAAGCCCAGAATGCAGGAAGTCTTTGTTTTTTTAGGAGCAGCTTTTTGTGAACTATGCTTGTAAAYTGCGTAATGATACTGGGTAACCTTTGGAGGAAAGATGACAGAATTGTTTCTTTTTCAAACATGCCAGAGCTGATAAATCCTCAACGTTAAAACAAGATTTAAACTTTCACATCCTTTGAGTATCATCTTATGACCTTTGGGAGAAACTGTCAGTAAGTCAGGGATTTTACTATAATCAAATTCTACAGATATTAGATCTCTGTGCCAAAACGTTCTGTCATGGGCCATGTTTATGTTTTATTGTAAATAAGTTTTAAACAACCTAATACAAATACAAATGGGTTTAAAATCAGATCATCTGCCTCTGAGTTTTCCTCATAGCTGTCTGCATCCAGCCGAAGCTGGCTCAAGCATGACAGCCATTTATTTATAAACAGACATCTGTTTAGAGATTAACCCTCATGTGCCCCATATTAAAMCAGTTATTCAGGTGCAATATTTTATGAGCGAATTAGGTACTGGTAGTGATTTATGAACCTATTACTGCACTGATGTATTGTTCTTGCTGAAAAACCTGCCATGTGTGATGAAGTAAGAATTAATACATCTCATATTTACTTGTGCAGTTTGAAGACATTTCATACAGAATTTTATTTTACATAAACAGCTTTCATTTGAACATTGACACATACTGTACAATGCAGTGAAGCAAGGATTTACTTTTTTACTTGGGTACTGTTTAAAATAAATTTCTCCCAGTGTCATGCACACATTAGTCAGCAAATGGTTCTTGCTGGATGTATATGGCTCTTTCCAAATATCTAAGAATTTACATGATCCAGAAATAGGCTTGTAAAGTAACCCAAGTACCAACAATGATTTGGATGGTGGGGGCACAGGCATAATTAAGATAACAAAATAAATAACTTATGAACAGGAGATGATGGTTTGTTTGATACCAATTAGATATATTGAAATCTCATCCATCCCTAACATAATATAATGTTTGCTTCTTAACMAACAGTTCAATCAGTACAAGTTATAAAGGTCATCATAGAGTCCACACTTTTGACTAAGAAAATCACAACATCCCATCAGTGACCAAGTGAAGCATTACAGAGGGATAAGATGTCATTATTTAAAAAATCCTTCAGTCTGGCAGTTTTTAACCAACGTTTATCCTTCCTTTTCAATTTGGGTCATTTTATCGGCTCTTTGTGAAATGTTATATAACCAAGCAGCTGCTTTGCTGTTCCAAATTAACACGGTGTTATTTTGTGTAATAATATCTGGAGCCATCATCACATTAGTGATTGCTCTGTTTGTCAGTCTCTGATTATTAATTCCTAATTTTTCCCCAGGCACACCGTTCAAAGAAGATCAGGAGCAAGACCTGAAGGCTGCTTTGAGGGGAACAGATTCATCCATCCCACTTATGTTTGTCAGTGGGAACCATGACCTGGGAAACACTCCCACTCCCAGCACTGTGGAGCAGTACCGCAGTGCCTGGGGTGATGACTATTTTAGCTTCTGGGTAAGAAGAGACATTTTAGTTACCGTAGTTGTAGTCGCAAGTTAGTCTTGTGTTCAATTGGAATTAAAATGTATGAAGTCAGTTTAAAGAGGATAATTTGTATGCATAAAAGCCCTATTTGAATTGCAGATTTTTATTCAAAAGTACCATTTAAAAATCACCTGTGATTATCAATTATTGTACTGTTGTTTGATTTGATATAATGTTCCTTCCGTTTTTACCTGTCTGGTGGCTCAAAGTAGAGGGTGAAACCTTGTTTTGAATAAAAGTTTAGTTGGTAGTTAAAAGGTGGTGTCAATAACAGATGAGAGGTTAGGTTTTATGTAACAATGACAAATCTGCAAGTTTCAAACTCACCATGAAAAAGACTGATCAGGATCAACGGTTTGTGCTTCATGCTTTAAAAATCTCATCCAGCTTTAATCTTCTACCGGTCTTATCTCTGTGGATGTACTGATATGCTTCTATTTTTCAGCTATTTTACTGCATTAAAACATGATGTGTAAAGCTGCTGTTTTTAGTTTTAAAAAAGGCCCCTGCTGTTAAGGGGAAACAACAGAATGATTTCTGGAGAATAAAATTTTTGCTGAAGGAGGTGATGGTGTTTGAGGTCGTWAGCAGGCTCCAACACCTACCAGTGCTCCATTGAAAATAGATCTTTATCGTTTTTGCCTCTGATGCCTTTGCAGTAGGGAATCGGGTTTTGTACACGTGTGTGTGCGTGCGTGTGTGCGTGCATGCGTGCGCCTGCACACATTTAAGAAGCAATATCTGAACATCTCTCTAAGAGAAACCTAACACAGACAACAAAAAGATGGTAATAAAATTATGTGTAAGATGCAAGAGTGGCATGAGATGCACTGCTCATAGATTAAGTTTGTTGTGTGTCTGTTTTGTTTTCTGTTTTTCACGCTCATGTTGTCCCAGGTGGGTGGAGTTCTCTGCCTGGTTCTGAACTCCCAGCTGTTCTACGACGCCTCGGCCTGCCCTGAGCTGAAGGAGGCTCAGGAGATTTGGCTGGATGCTCAGCTGAGCAAGGCCTCCTCCTCTTCAARGGTAGGATAGCACGACTTTTATTCTGACTCATGAATATGTTTGGGCACACTGTTTTTCACTGGTTCTTATTTTGCTATGTTTAGATCTCTTTTGATTTAGATTTTGCCTTGGAACACAATATATGCATTTTGTTTCTGTTTCCGCACAGGAACCCAAACCCAAACATCTTTTGGTATTTCAGCACATTCCTCTTTTCCTAAGGAACCCAGATGAAGAAGATGACTACTTCAACATGAAGAAGGAAGTTAGGCAAAAACTACTGCACAAATTCAAGAGTGCAGGTAGGAGAATATGACTAAAGTTAACAGCTTTATTGTTTAAGATGATAGTTTTAGGCCTGTGTAAAGCTGTCTTTACTTTGTTCCACACATCAGCCTTTACTTTGTTTTTATACTCCTTTGTTACTATTTTTCTTAAAATCATTCATTCAGCCATATCTAACTGAAGCACAGTTAGGATCCCTGCCTGCAGGATTAATATACCATTATATAGAACAACAAGAAATGCCCCTGGCACACGCACACAAACACACGACACTCAGTGTAATATTATTAATGCATTCACGTCCTGTAAGAGGAATAATTCCTTAATTAAAATCTATAGTCAAAGGCTTACAAGAAAATGATACAAGAGTACTTGACAAGGAAACTCTCAGGACAATAAGACTTTAAGAAGCCACTGAGTTCACTAAAACACGCGTCAACATTCTGCTGTTTGGCCAGTTGTCCTCTACTGATTGATAGGACTTCTCATCTGGTCACGTGCAGGGGTTCTATTCATGCATCAAGGTGACTGTCAGGAAATGGTATTAATTTCATTAACCATTCATCATTCAGAGGTGTATTTGACCACGTTGGCTCGTTTTGGTCTGATGACCCTTGTCACTCATAATATATTGGTCCTCCAAGAGAATTAAAGAGCAACTTGTGCAGCTTTGTATGTGCAGCAATTGGAGGAGGGGTGCAGARTATATGTGTGGAACAATATGTGTGCAAGTGTCCTTCCCCATTTACTCTCTTGTTCACAAACGCCTTGCCAGCAGTTATAAATTCAAGCTTCACATCCAGGGCATTAACATGAACTATATACAGAAATGTTCATGGTTATGAAAAATGGATGGCGGGCACACAGCTGCTCACTGCAGATTCATATACAGTATTACATAATACTACATGTTTATAGCCTCGTACATTGGAATTTCTGTGGAAATGTAACATATGGCACCATTTCAGTATATTAATACTGACGACAAATATTGAAAAAATATTTAGGTTTCTTTTTTTTGCCACTTCAGGAAATCTAATAGAGAAGAGGTGTGAACTGAAATTTAACATAACTGGGCTTTCTTTTTCCAACCTGGCTTAAAACAAGAGAGAACCTGTATTAAAACAGTAATGCTCTTTGATAGCTCAGACTTTCTGTATTTGTGTTTTCACATAAAAAGGGACAATCATTTGACACAGTTGTTGCTCTAAATACAATCAGAGAATGAAATATTTTAAAATGGAGAAAAAAAATAATTCTGACACTTAAAGTTTTAACTTGGGGTGCAACGATAAAGAAAATTCATGATTTGGTTCAATACATTAGTGTCACAGTTCAATATTTATTTGATTAAAAAAAGAGAAATGCCCTTAAATTGTTGTCTTTTTAAAATTATACTGTTTCTTAGTATAAACATTAGATATGTTTGCTTATGTTGCGTTGTGAATAAAATATGTAACAGCTCAGGGTATATGAGAGTATATGATTTTCTTTTGAGATATATGATTTTCATATACCCTGTATATGAAAATCTCATATACAGGGTATATGAGATTTTCAAATCTTTACATTATGTTTGTATTTACATTTTACCCAACAATCCAYTTTTTCAGAACTTGGGTGATGCTTAAACATAATCGAATGTGCTGAAGTTGTTTGCTGTAAGCAAGTATGTGCATGTACGTACCTGGTTTTTGTTACATTTTTAGGACATGTTTTAGTATAAACACCTACCTTGTCYGGACCAGTAGTTCTTTTMGAGACCAAAGACCAGTCCTAATATGGTGGAACACCATTTTTGCATGGGTGTGTAGTTTCAGGGTAAGGGTCAGGCTACATAAATAACTTGAAATGAATGAAAGTCAATACATTATCCTAATAAGGGTTAAAATACAAACGTGTACGTATGTTTGTATGCTTCTGTGTGTTCAAAATATCTACTACAACTAATCAGATTTACCAAACTCAAACTTGGCTAAGACTTAGTCAGTTTTACAAAGTCTCAGACAGTCATTTCCATCAAAGCACAGATGATTCTGAGCTGTTACCACTAGGGATGTCCCAATCAGATACTCATTATCGGTATCGGTGGCAGATATGGCCATTTCTTGAAAATCGGGTAGAATCGGATTTAGTCATGTGATCGGCCTGATCCAGTTTTCGTGACAGTTTTCAGCATCATCATGTTTTACAACTGCCTTTAAGAAGTCAAGACGCACACAAGTATGCAACCTTGTCCACATTGTGGGAATACTTTTTAGTGGAAAACAATGATGCTGATTCTGCATCTTGCAAAATCTGCAACCTGGATGTTTCTCGTGGTGGGAACAGCAGGGCTCACTTTAATACTACCAACCTTGTCTCTTGGAAAGAAATAAAGAAAAAAAGCTATCGGATCGATATTGGAAAAACTAATCATTAAAAAAATCGAATTGTATCGGGAGCCAAAAAATCTGGATCYGGACATCCRTAGTTACCATTTATTAGGCCTACAGTTTACTTCAGGAAACTTTCATCAGTCAGATATAGAATGCAAACMTTTAGGAAGGTCAGCCCAAAAGGCTCTGGAAGTCCTTTCWAAGCCTGTCARGATAACAAATTTTGCTGGACAATAAATTGTCTTAGAAATTATTGCAATAAACCATAATAGAATRTGGAGACCAATTTAAACTAATATAATATCTTCCTCACACCCCAGCTTAAAAGATTACTGAAGTTTACGAAATTTACGCATTTAAAAAAAGTTACAGACTGACCTTGACTTGGAGATGGGATAAACAACACACAACTACTGCAGCTTTAAAATCTCTTCCCACCTCCCTTATTCAATCCAGCACCATTTATTCTGTAGGTCTTCTTCTGGCTTCATAAAATAACTGCAGTCACCCTTACACTMCTTACAAAACTTACATAAAGTTACAGACAGACTGGGAGTGGAGTTTGTGAAAACAACACAAAACAGCTGCTGTAGCTGTAACATCTCTACCCACCTCTATCCACCTCTATCCAAGCCAGCACAATTTATTCTTTGTTTTCCTCTGGTTTGATAAAAAATAATTGTCACCTGCGTGCTGCTTACAGAGTTTACCTAATTTATTTAGTGTAAGAAATATAAATAAATAAATAAATAAATAAATAAAAACAAACGCACACTCTGCAAACCCAAGATTTGGTACGGTGCCCTGAGCTATTGCCAGCTGAAAGAGGGCATCAGAAAACCAAAGACACTCCTTTACCTAAAAGCCTGTTCACGGAGCTCTCATGCTATAGAGGTTATGAGACCATGTGCCTGGCAACTACCTGACGCCAGAGTTCACTCCTATCTACGCTTAGGGAGTAGAAAAGGAGGGGACACAAAGAAAAAAACAAGCAGGTAAAATAAAATCAATAATTCTTTTATCTACRTCATTTTAATTTATCATGGATTAATTGATTTATTGCTTATCGTGGTAGGKCTAGTCTTTTTTGTAAAACTTAAAAACTGTTAACTGTAAAAAGTTTGTAAAACTTGCCAGTTTGTTCCAAAACTAAAATATACACAGCTGTTATTGAGTGACTTATCCAGTTCAACCTTGCAAATATATACAAAAAAATGATTTTCATGCTCGACAACTTCAAAATAGAGCATAGATGACCTTTTTTTTTTTTTTTGAGAATTTTTCATTTTGTAAGAAGTTGACAAGTTTATGTTTTCATATCTGAGCAGCTAGTACAAATGTAATTCTGCCTAGAAGACAAATGGAGCTCTAACACCAGCTGAAGCATTACATGATTTATTTTGTGAAACTACTGTAAACCTTTTTATGATCCACTGTTTCTTTGTTGCAACGAGACAAGAACATTGTTTAAAAACTGGGACAATTTTCCAATATTTGGCTGCCACTAAGTTCTCATTTGAAGGAAGCCAAGCAGCAGTCTGGCAAACACTACGAAGTAAAATTGGACAGCTTTCCTAGTTCCTTGTCAAGCACTTCTAAATCTACAAAAATGTCCTTGCAATAGAGAATCTGGATTTTGTACAGATTTTCTGGCATTTCTTGGCATCAGATTCATACTTTAAGTGGTTTAACTCACTGAGTGCTCCTTATTATCTGCACTTCAGTGGCATCCATAATTTCACCCATCTGTATTTTTTAATCTCCTGTTTCTTAGATTTTAAAACAATTTAACAGATTTGCTAATTATGCATAATGTTTCCAAGTATTTCTTTGTGCATGCKCTCTTGAGCAGTTTGTAGACTTTTACTTAAAACTGCTGCGCAGTGGTACATTTCTTTACTTTATTTAGATTGTTATGCATGAGATGTTATGCCCCAAAGTATATATACGTTATCTCGGCAGCCTGGRTGTATATGGGGAAAGGTGCAGCACAAATTAGTCACATTTTGGCTCATCAGAGCAAGCAGTTCCTCTCAGGAAACTGTTGACTGCATTCCCCGCTCATATTAATGAAASTCTCTGTGAGATGACCCCCTTGCGGCTGGTAGTGTGCAATTTCTTTTTTAATTGCATAAGCAGTTACTGTCATCTTACTGATGTGGTTTTTATGAAAATCATTTTTTTGCTGGTTGAACTGAGCAGTTTTAAACTATTTCAAATTAATTAGTTTTTACTTGTGATAAATTTAAATTTCTAATGAAACTCTTAATTGGAAAATGACAGGTTGCAAATGTGCAAATAAGTTTAGAAAAAAAAACTCTTATGAGTAACTCTTTATTACCAAGTAACCTTATGAACCATTGGATACATTTTAATGAAACTCACAGAAAGTAATGATTGGTGTGTACAACTGATTAACTGTTAACAGGATTAAAAATATCCACCACATCTAACACACACACACACACACACACACACACACACACACACACACACACACACACACACATATTCATCTCTCTATACTTGTGTACTTGTAGGGGCAGCTGTGGCAGAGTGGTTAGGGTTAGAGTGTCCTTAGATCAGACACTCAACCCCCACTGCCTCTGATTTGTGTCCCATCAGTGAATGGTAAAGGG